TTTTTTGACAGGGTCTCACTCTGTTGCCCAGGCTAGAGTACAGTGGCATGATCACGGCTCACTGCAGCCTCAACCTTTTGGGCTCAAGCAATTCTCCCACCTCAGCCTCCCAAGTAGCTGGGACTACAGGCATGTGCCAGTGCACCCAGCTAATTTTTTTGTTTTGTTTTTTGGAGACAGGTTTGTACTTCTGTCACCCAGGCTGGAGTACAGTGGTGCAATAGCTCACTGCAACCTCTACCTCCCAGGCTCAAGCAATTCTGGTGCCTTAGTCCCCAGAGTAGCTGGGACTATAGGCATGCACCACTGTGCCTGGCTAATTTTTGTTTGTCTTTTTTAGAGATGGGGCTGCATCATGTTGCCTTGGCTGGTCTTGAACTCCTGAGGTCCAGTAGTCTGCCCGCCTTGACCTCCCAAAGTGTTGGGATTACAGGTATGAGCCACTGCATCTGGCTAATTTTTGTATTTTTTTTTTCATAGATGGATTTTCACCATGTTACCCAGGCTGGTCTTGAACTAATGGGCTCAAGTAATCTGCCTGCCTCAGCCTCCCAAAGTTCTGGGATTATAGGCATTACTGTACCTGGCCTAAAAGTACCTTAATTGAAAAGAAATACAGTTTATTTGACACATGTCTAGTATATCCTCAGAATATTTTTTTAACCAATAAGAAGCCCTACCAACTATCCCCCGAGATATAGAATTTATAACCCTATGTGATGACTAGATGTTTTGAACAAAACCAAGTGTGATGAATGGCTACCAGCTCAGAGGCCCTGGAGAGAACAAAGACACCACACTGGTGAGAGGTAGCTGCCTGTGGACCGCATGATTTCCCAGCAAGGCAGTGAGAGCATCTGGTGCCTCCAGACACTGCAGAAACAGTGTCACAGAAACATCTCAGAGGCATCACTTCTCTTTATCAAGATTCTAAAGTGATTTCAACATTTTAAAAATACAGCATAAAGAATTTGAGTGTGGAGTGATGATCATTCTTCCAGGTTAGGATCAGGCTTTTTATCCCGTTGTCTTATTGATTTGATGTGCAGGGACTCCTGGGATGGGTATTGCCCAGTGACATGATCCCAGTGGGGCCATTTCTGATCCCAAGAAAGCAGTCAGGAGTGGGTGGATGCAGCTACAGTTCATCAAGTCCTGCTAGTTCAAGTCATGAACTCTGAATTCCCAGGGAGTAACCACTAAAGAAATGTAGAAGAGGAAAATCCTTGCAATAAAGATGGATGAGGTTCTTTGGTTGCTGCAGTGTGGGAGTGGAGTGCATGTTGGGACCTGGGGGGTGAGGCGGAGGGCTCCCCCAGTCTGTTCCTTCCTGAGCCTGATTTCTTGGCTCTTACGCAGCCCATTTGTTTCTTTTGTCTCAGGGAACACCTGCACCCCTGGTTTGCAGTCTGTCCTTGGGTGAGTCACCGTGAGACCCAGGTTCCTATTTGTAAAGAATGGGTAGCGCTTCTTCACCTGTTTCTTCACTAAGCCCTTACAAAGCCCTCAGATGGAGACTGTTGCTTTCATATCTTGCAGGCCAGCAAACTGCCAGTGTGAAGGATGCCCAGGTAACCTGCCCACGTCAGAACAGCCAGGAGATGGTGGAACCAAAATCTAAGCCCACGCCCATCTGACTTCAAAGTCTGTGCTCTTGATGTTTGCACCGAGTCACCTCCTAAGACTTTCTGAAACTGGATCATATCCATTTAACTGTCTCTGAGAGAAATCCAAGCTTTAAAAAAGGAAATATTTACTATGGATATTTTACAATGGTTCCAAAACATGAAAGTTTTAAATAGAATATTCTTAACATCCTCACCACATCTTCAGGTTCCCTTACAGCCACTATGTTTTGATGACTGCCTATGGGAAAAAAAGACTATGCTTTCTGTAGATTTGAAAGGAATGGTGGTGAGGTAGGGATCATTCCCTGAGCATATCCTGCCTGTGGGCACTCCTCTGAGCATTGGGCCAGGCGAGGAGCCCATGGTGTTGTTTACTTTGGGATCCCAGCACTGCTAATGGGAGTTGGGCTATGATCCAGGGAGAGAACTAGTGTTGTCTTATTTGAAAATGGAGATGATAGCAGTGCCCTCCTCAGTGTTATTTTGAGCATTTGATGTATCTCAGACATAGTACCTGAAAAAATGTAAGTGCTCAGTAAATACGGTTGCCAGATAAAATGCAGGAAACCTATTTAAATTTAAGTTTTGGCTGGACAATGAATAGAATAATTTTTTTTTAGTATGAGTATGTCTTTATATTTTATCTGCTAAATTTAGCAACCTCCTCAGTAAATGATCACTACAATTGCAAGAACTCCTTGTGACAGATATAGTAGATCTGTAAAGAAATAGGAACTTACATTTATTTTTACTAAGCTCTGACTGGTTAAGATAACTGGGCAAGAGAAGATATCTTTGACTAAACCTGCAGAATGTAGAGTATAGAAATTCTAATTTGAAGTACTATAGGACTAGAATGGCCAGGGGTGAACTGTAGAGAGCTTATCTAAAGAGTCCCAATTTCAGAAGTTCCTCAGAGACTTAAATGGGCCCACACACCCCTCCTGTGCCTTAGCATAAGCCAGCTCATTGTATCAGTTATAAATTCATTTCCAGAGAAATGTACCCTGGAGGCCGTCTCCTGCTTGAAATAGGACTGGCCAATCCAGATATCCCCCAGGTGATGTTGGCTCAAGTATATAGCTCCATAAATTGGAGAATCTATTCAAGACAACAAGCAAAAGTATTTGTGACTGAGTTAGCTAATGCCAGCTGGTATCTTGAACAAATCCAGATCTCCAACCTGCCAGTTTATTTCTTAGTCTGAAACTTGTGTTACTGATTGACAGTGAGCTCTCATTCAAGCAGTGACTTAGAGATGCAAACTCTTGCCATTTTAGTAGTTCCATTGTATTCAGTGTGTGGCGTCCAAGGTGCCTGGGATCATCTCCATCAAGACTAAGGAAGAGGAAAGAGCTTGGAGAACCGCACTTGGGTGGTTTTTATGGATCAGGCATGGAATTGGCTTCAACACATTAGCTCACATTCCATTGGTTAGAACCGGGTTTCTCAGCTGTTAGTACAGGGTTGGTGTAGGGTTTCGGCACCATGAGCATTTGAGCTTGCCAAAGGCTAATCAGAGTTAGAACAAAGCCACAAAGGCTGTGAATGTTTATTGTTGTGAGGGGCTGTACTGTGCACTGTGGAATGTTCAGCAGACTCACTAGATTCTAATATAACTCTCTTCTCTCCTCCAGTTATGACAACCACAGATGTCTCCTCTTCAGACATTACTAGATGTCCCCTGGGAGGCAAAATTTCCTGATTGAGAACCACTGTGTTAGAACTTGGTCACATGGCCACACCTAACCGCAAGGGAGGCTGGAAGATCTAGACTAGTAGTATGCCAGGAAGAAAAGAAAACTGATTTAGAGGCTGCTGGCCAGTCTCTTTCACAGTGACCTTCAGCGTACTTATTCTTTTGTAGCTATGGGGATACTCATGCCTGTTTCTGAGCTGTTTCCTGTGTGAGGTGACATAGTGAGAATGGAAGGGGTGACATGCTGGACGTGGGTGGGGTGAAGAGGATTGGAAACCACCATCATGTTTGGCAGCATTGAATGTTTATGACCATTTGAATAGTTGTGACAAGGAAACAGTGAAGGAGGAAATAACCATTTCTGAATACCCTTTTGCAATTTGCAAAGCACTTTTAAAGGTAAGAATGAGTTCCTAGACCATATTGGGGTGAGAATGGACATTGTTGGCTGCCATATCATTGGGAGGGGGCTTTGAGATCTTTGTCTTAAAAAGGCAGAGCGGATTTGGAGTAGAAGGAGAAATGTAAAAATCTGGTATCTGAGTGTGTTTGCAGACAGGAATTGTCATTTGGAAGCACAAGAAAGGGAGGATGGCCCATTGGCATATATGGTACATTGTGTTTTCATATAATTATACATGAATGAAAACAAGAGGAAATGTGTAGGAAGCTGTTTACATAGTCCTTTTAATAATGTTTACATGAGTTAATGAACATGCAAACATATCTGATGAAAACATGTCAGTAGTGAAACAGCCTTGTGAAGAATCAGATCTTACCTCAGGCTGGAAAAAAATAACAGGTTTTCCAAGCTCACAAATTGCAGCCAGTGTGCGTAGTCGCACAAATGACTTTGAGCTTGAAGACAACTATCCATCCATCTGTTCATCCCCTCATCCATTCATTCATCCCTTCATCCATCACTCCATCTACCCATCCATCCCTTTATCCAACCATTCATACCTTCATCCACTCATCCATCCATCCATCCATCCATCCCTCCATTCATCCATCCATCCATCACTCCGTCCACCCATCCATCCCTTCATCTATCCATTCATGCACCCATTCATTCACCCCTTCATCTGTCCATCTATCCATCCATCCCTTCATCCATCCATCCATCCCTTCATCCATCTACCCATTCATCCCTTTAACCATCATTTTATCCATCTATCCATTCCATTATCCCTTCATCCATCCAGCCATCCATCCATCCATCCATCCATCCATCCATCCATCCATCCATGTGTTCAGTAAACACTTATTGAACACTTATTATGTGCCAAGCACTCTCCTCAGAACCTAGGAAATACCAGTAAACAAAACCAACAACAATCCCTCACCACCTGGATATTACATTTTGTTGGGAAGAGACAAAGTTGGTGAGTGAATCACATAGGTTATTAGGTGATAAAGGTGTAGGTGATAAAGGGAAGTGCCAGGAGCAAGGATCAGGTACAGTTGTGAATAAGGTGGCCCCAGCAAGTTGCACTGAGTAGGTGACATTTGCACAGAGACTTGATGAAAGCAAGGAGAGAACATGCCCATACCTGAGAACAGCATTTGTGGAAGAGGGAACAGCCAGTGCAGAAGTTCCAAGGCATGAGTTCCTGGTGCATCCACGGAATATCAGGGAGGCCAGGGTGGCAGAAACGTGGTGAGCCCAGGAAGGGAATAGGAAATAAATGTAGGAAGGTAGTGGTATACAGTGAGGTGGCGTGGGGGTGGAACTGCGACAGCCAGATAGTGTTGGTGTAAGGCCTCTTGGCCCTTGTTAGGACTTGGTTTACCATGGCACAACACACCCATAACATTGGCAAAAATTAAAAAGTCTGACAACAGCAAATCTGGATATCCTGTAAGGATGTGGAGCAGTGGGAATTCTCCAGTACTGCCAGTGGGCAGGCACATCGGTTCCACCACACTGGAGCGCAAAGGGGCATTCTGAGTCGAGTTGAAGATGTGCCCCTCCTTGACCCCACAGTTCCGGCCATGGGCATGTGAATGAATGTGCGCATGTGCTGACTGCAGCATTTGTTTGTAATTATGAAAACATCTAGGTATCCATCTGTAGGAGAGGGGATAACGTGGGAGTGCCCTACAGTGGAGCTCTAGGGAGCAGTAAAAATAAAGAGATGAGACCTGCACATGTCAAAAGGAAAAGATAAAAGACATAAGGATGGGAGAAGAACACCTGGCCACAGAAACATATGTACAAGTATGATGCTGGTGTATCCAGAGTGTTCACACAAACAGCACAACACTACTCATGGTTTCCAACACGGGTATGAAAGTGTGGCACGATGCAGAGGGCCAGGAGTGCTGAACCCAGATGCTTGCTTCTCCAGGCGGGGGCCGAGGACCAGGGCCCGAGGTTTACTCCAGGAGCTTTGGTGGCACCTGCTGAATGTGCTGTTTCTCAGGCTGGGGGACAGGGACGTGCATGGTGTTACACAGTCTGTACTGAAATGATTGTATAACAGTATACTAGTTTATCATATAATAAATCTGACCAAAATAACCAACTGTTTTGTGGCAGCTTCCATGCCTGGATTTCACATTGTAGGTTTCTAAGCAGAGAATCCAAGAAAACCAAAGGAGGGGTGGAGGGAGAGGCTCTTGGGTGTCTGGGAGTACCCCTTTGCTTGGGCTGCTCCGTCAGAGTCGAGAAAACCTTGGACTTGTGACAACTGGAGTCGACCTGGGATCCTGGCACCAAATGCCAGCAGAAACCATCCTGTCCCTGTCGGAAGATGAGATGAGGTTCTTGCTGGAACGTGAGAACAGTTTGAGAGCTTCAGGTAGAAAGCCCAATCGTCCTTACCCAGTGTGGCCCACCCAGAGTCGTGAACAGGGTCGGCCTTCGGACGCTGTGAGCTGGTGTCTGAGACACAGCTTGGGCTTCTGTGCTGCTGGAAGCAAGGGAACCCTGAGGGTGGATGAACCGCCTGGCAAAGACAAACTGGCGCACTCGTCAGTGTGGGAACAAAGCCACAAGACCTGGGAGTGGCATTTTACAGATCTGCAGTTTTTCAAAAAACTTGTACTTAAATGTGTATAACATAAAATTTACCATTTAAGCCTTTTTTTTGAGACAGGACCTTGCTGTGTCACCCAGACTGGAGTGCAGTGGTGCAATCATAGCTCACTGCAGCCTTGGCTTTCCTGGTTCAAGTGATCCTCCTGCCTCGACCTCCCAAAGTGCTGGGATCATGCCAGCCTCTCCTGGGTCTTTGAAGTCTCCACCAGCCCAGGGCTAGTGATCAGCTAAGCTGGAGGCTTTCTCGGCAGTGTGAGTAGTTTTTCACTCTGCCCTCGAGTGGTGATGCTAAGGCCCCTTCATGGAGTTTGCTGTTCATTCCTCTGCTCATGGGGATTAGAACTTGATAGCAGTGAGCAGGAGGGTGTCAGGTGCTGGCTGGGCCGGCGCGAGGTGTGCGCTGAGCCCTGGGTATGCCCCGAGGGAGCAGCTGCACTTCGGGTCCCATGTGAAGTGAGGAAGAGGCTGAGAGGCAGAGGCGAGCAACACATCTGAGACCGCAGAGCTGCCAAGAGACCAGGGATCAAAGCCATGGTGCCCATCCTGCTCCTCTTTTTCAGTCAAGTATGAGGAAAATAGTGAGGGAAGTTGTTCTTACGTGGAGCAGGACAGCAAAAGCCCGTAAACCACCTTCGCAGGTCGACTCAGAATTGACTGTCATCTGGATGGTAATGGGATTTTACTCTTGTGTTCTTGAAACCTCTGCCAGGAAAACCTCACTAGAATGGCCTGGAAGCTTCTGGAAAATATAGATTTGTGGTGCTCCCTACCCCTGTCTATCCCATGAGAATCTGTGGTAAGGTGGGGAGTAGGCCAAGGAATTTACAATTTTCACAAGATTCCTGGGCACTCCTCGAATCGTGCTTGGAGAAACACTCTGCAGACCCTCAGCTTCTCTTTTTTTTTTTTTTTGTTTGTTTGTTTTTTTGAGATGGAGTTTCGCTCCTGTTACCCAGGCTGGAGTGCAATGGCGCGATCTCGGCTCACCGCAACCTCCGCCTCCTGGGTTCAGGCAATTCTCCTGCCTCAGCCTCCTGAGTAGCTGGGATTACAGGCGTGTGCCACCATGCCCAGCTAATTTTTTTGTATTTTTAGTAGAGACGGGGTTTCACCATGTTGACCAGGATGGTCTCAATCTCTTGACCTCGTGATCCCCTGCCTCGGCCTCCCAAAGTGCTGGGATTACAGGCGTGAGCCACCGCGCCCAGCCCCCTCAGCTTCTTAATGGAGGTGATGATTTGGTTTGGCTGTGTCTCCACCCCAAATCTCTTCTTGAATTGTAATCCCCATCAGCCCTGTCATCCCCATGTCTCAAGGGAGAGACCAGGTGGGCGTAATTGAATCATGGGGATGGTTCCCCCATGCTCTTCTCATGATAGCAAGTGAGTTCCCACGAGGTCTGATGGTTTTATATGTGTTTGGCATTTTCTCCTGCATTCATTCTCCCTCCTGCCCCCCTGTGAAGGGGGTGCCTTGCTTCCCCTTCCGCCATGATTGTGAGCTTCCTGAGGCCTCCCAGCCATGTGAAACTGTGAGTCAGTGAAACCTCTTTCCTTTCTAAATCACCCAGTCTCAGGCAGTTCTTTACAGAAGTGTAAGAACAGCCTAGTACAGGTCAAAGTGTGGTTTTGGACCTGCATTTTAGACAGGATTCCTCGGCTGATTCTTAAGCACACGCCACTCGCGAGCCACTGTCCTTCAGGCACTCAGCGGCAGCGGTTTCATTTTCCTGGCATTTTGTGCTTTCGGTAGTCATGGCCATATGGTGGTGAAAAGTGGTCATTTTACCATAGAAGGAAGGTCCTAACTGTTGGGAACATTGAAGGAACTGCAGGAATTAACCTGTCACATGTTTCATTGAAAAACATGATGATTCATCATCAAAATGAATAAGTTCTTTCACTTTTGAATGAAACCATATATTATTAGAGACAATGAAGGACACAATTTAAAAAATACTCAAATCGAAGCAATCCTTGTGTTTTGATGGTGATTGAGTTCTGCTTTGCGTTTTTGTTACCATTTCCATCCTTGAGTTTCCTTGGTCCTGTTCATTGCCCTGGCTCCGTCTCTGCCTTTTCTCTTCTGTAGGCAAAGTTCTAGTGCATACAATCCCAACACGATTGTGCCGCCCTGTAAGAGCCCCTGTGCTCCAGCCAGTTGGACACCCAGCTGGGTCTGACCCCCAGCTCCGTCTTCTCCTCCTCTTGGAGGTGGGGAGGCACTGTGCCTGTCCCAGCCACCTCTAATGACCTCCCCCAGGACGTCTCTAGGTGAGTGACTTGGCGTGACTCAGCAACCCGACTTTTTCCGGGAGCCAGAATATTTTGCCACACAACCAACATATGGTAAACATTCACACTGTCTGAGTACAATACTTATAAATGAAACATGCCAGGGAAAAGAAAAAGGCCCAGCTCTCCTCACACTCAAATGGAGAGGTCATCAGCTAAGAATGGGAACACGTTGACAAAGACATCCCCCCACCCTTGCTCCCTGGGGCTGCCGTGAGGATCTGTGTCTCAGAAGGGGTCCCTGAGAGGGCGGAGAAAACACAGGACGCCAGGGTCTATGTACACAGGAGTGAAGGGACGTTTCTTCTCAG